GAATCCATCTTGGTTATTAAAGCCTGGATCCCTAAATTCGATGCTGCTTGGGTTCTATTTAATAATCCCCTGGCCTCGCCTTGTGAGCTTATTGTCATCTACCATTCTTAACACGGCTTGACACCTGAGAAGAGAAAGCAGAAGCACGCCGAAGTGGCAAACATCATTTCATCAACACGCCTTCCGGGCCATTCACCAAACCACCAAGCACACTGACGACCACCAGAATGCCAGTCGACCTCCCATGCCCACCATTTATCAAAATCGACGGCCTTCACAACTTCCGTGACTGCGGCGGCTACCCCATCGCAGACCAGCCTGGCAAGATTGTCCGCCGGGGAGTGCTTTACCGATCAGAAGACCCGTCCAAGCTGACGGCCCGGGGCATCGCGCAGTTGCAGGAGCTGGGGATCACCAAGGCCTTCGATCTCCGCACCGAGTGCGAAATCCAGCTGAGCAACAGCAATGGCCTGGGTGAGGTTCGGGAATGGGATGGCTGCTTGAGAATCCTAGCTTCCGTCTTCACGGTCGATTACTATCGGAAAGAATACTCCGTCAAACGGGCCAGAGGTGTTGAAGGCGAGGCGGGCAACCAGGTAGGTGAAGTCGCACAGCCGTATTACTTATTCCCACGAGCTGACTCCTCGGCATACAGGGCGTCATCGACTATTTCCGGGACATCCTCATCTGTGCTTCCTCGGCCGACAATCTGCTGCAGCCCCTCAACCTAATCCTAGACCATCTCTCTGCAACCCCCCCGCCCGAGCCGGAGCCGATCCTGCTTCATTGCTCACTGGGAAAAGCCCGGACTGGCGTCATCTGCGCCCTAATCCTAAGCATCTGCGGCGTGCAAGACAGCATCATAACACACGAGTTTAGGCTGACCGCCCTGGGGGTAGGGAAAAAGGTGGCGGATATGATCACCACGCTGCGGCCGGATAACCCTGGCCTCACAGAGCGGGGAGCCCGGTTTTTAGGATGCAGGTGAGTACCGAGAGGTAGGCAGGTCTTTGTTTACAAAGGAACACCACATGCTGAAAGGAAGTGCATGCAGGGAAGAGGCCATGCAAGGGTTTCTGGCATGGTTGCAGGGCCAGGGTGGGGCGGAACGATACGTGGTCGAGTCTGGTATCATGACTGTTGAGCAGGTTCAGCAGTTGAGACGTAACCTGGTTGTCGAACTCGGGGCAGGCGAGCAGCCCAACGACTGGGAAGAGCACCGAAAGATGCTGGGGCACAATAAGTTTGGGACTCCATACCAGGTAGCTATCAGGTAATTACTAGGTACCGGGTAGTAAGTAAACTTGAACCTCTGTGTACCCGGATAGGTACCGTCGGTAAGTCTTGTTTGGTTGGACAAACATGGAGACCTTTGGCATTTAAAGCAGCTTTTAGTTGGGGCCTCGAGTGTAGAGCAGATACACGCATTTTTAGGGAGCTCAATGGAGAAAGGAAGAGCCCAAGAATAAAAGTGATTTGAGTAGGTACCTGATGTAAAGATGCAGGAAAAGAAAAAGCCAGGCAATTACTGAAAAATGGGTATCAACTTGTTTGTCTCGCGACAAAGGCTCTACGGTCTAACAACCCGACCAAGGTAAGAAACAATAACCACGCGCTGCTCATTTGGGGCCGGAGAGCGGAGACCAGTCCGGCTCAACCCACCTTTGCCCATCTCTGTCATTATGATCCAAGCTCCGCATATGCCTGTGTCCTCCTTCTTCAAGCCTGGTGTAAGAGGGATCCGTAAATGATTCCTCTGAAGTTGTGATTGCCACGCCCACGGCAGCAGTCTGAGTCCTGTTCTCATTTGTAGAAGCTCTCGTTGCCAGGTGGTATGTGTTCATGCGGGTGGGGTTGGAGTGCTCAGTTGACTTGTTCGACTTGCCCCTAGAGTTGGAGGACGTCGGAGTGTACCGGCCTCGGATGTAGAGGAAGAAAAGAGGGAACGTGGGCATGCATCCCACGAGGATGGTACCGAAGTACTCCACCATGCTGAAGGAGAGACAAGTTGGTAAGCATCACGCCCGGATGTAGTGTTGGGTTATCTCAGGCTTCACGAAGACCGAACTTACGTCCAGATGCCGACCTTGGTAATCAGCCATGTCAAGTCCTGGTCCGTCAAGAGTGGTATCCGGAGGGCAACGCCGACGGCAGCGATTGCACAAGTCCTGTATACCATGTCAGTGCCTAGACTTTCCCTTGCTGTTATCAAAAAATCAAACATGAAGCTCACAGTATCCCCACGCCAAACACAGCCGAGATTCCCAACTTTCGCTTCAGGGGCAGTTGCAGGTGAAGGATGGCCCAGATGGGCACCACCAGGATCCCAAGATCAAGAAACACATTGACAGCGCCCGCCACCACAGTCGCCGCTGCGACGTTGATGCATCGGCCCTCCATCAACATATCCCAGGCCTTCTCGCGGGGCGTGCACTGGAAGATGAAGGTGAACATGGCCGAGGTGTAGTAGGCGGCGTTGAGAAACAGGAGCAGCTGGATGCTCCAAAAGACCGAGTCCCGCGTCTGGCCGGTGCAGAAGAGCCTCTTGAGCTGAAACAGAATGGAGGCCTTTGCGGCAAACATGGTCAAGGCGTTGGAGATTTCGGCAAGGTAGTTCATCTATGGTTCTGGTGTCAGTTGCGAACCGAATCATGACCGTCAGACGGCAATAGGAGGTGAACTTGAAACCTACAAAGGACATGTGGCGCACGTCGACGAACCGGACGTCCCAGAGGTGGCGAGAGAATCCGTTCATGGAGACACTGATGAAGATGGAATCCCATACAATGATGCCGGCCTGGAGCAGTTAATTAGCGAACTGCAAAACAGTTGGATCTTATGGTGAAATCCCCATACAGCAGCCAAAATGGCAAAGTCTGGATTCCACTGCAGTTAGCATTGTTATTTTCCTCCATTTTGTTAAACGCGAACCACACAGACACAGACAAGACGCACAATCTTCCAACCTCAAGTCCCTCAAGACAAAGCCCTTTACAAAGACGCGAATGCCCACCGTCGTCACGACCAAGCTCATGGTCGCAATCGCCACGCCAAGCACAACCGGGTGCATGGTCTCTGGGTCGACAAAGTTGGAGTGACTTCCCGGCGGGGGCGCCATGGCCGGAATGTCGTAAAGTGTCGCCATGTTTGTTTTGAGTTTGGGTCGAAAAGCTCGAGACCGGACTCTCTGTCTGCCAGTGTTGGACGGGAGTGCTAGTCTAGCCTCCAGGGCTTAAACATGGGAGGTCGCCAGCGATAGTTTGTGGCACAATGTCTCAGACAGGTGCACTCATCTTGACGCACATCATCGCGCGCAGGTCAGGTAAGTTCGGGTCTGGTGCGTGCGGGAGGGAAGCAGGGGGAGAAAAACAAAAAGAAACAAAGCAAGCGCACAAAATGCGGCGCAAGCAAAGTGATGCACAAGCGGAAGAAAAGACTGGGATGTGTTGCAACAACAACTCGATTGATGCACCAAAAAGCTTTTGTTCGGAAGTCGGCAACAGAGAAAAAAGGGGGGAGGGTGTGAATGGGGATGGTACCTGACCCAAAACCAGAAATAGAGGCCACCACCGCCGCCCACATTCCGTCCCGCTGATGTGTGTGCCTGGATTGGAACCTGGGGTCAATGAGTGATTGAGTGACAGTCGATGACGATCGGTCCAACGATCAGTCCAACAAGTGAACAAGTGCGCCGTTTTTTGCCAGGCCCCCTCGAGGCCCCATTGCCAATACTTTTCAGTTTGCAGCCAGCCAGCGCACCAGACGAGGTTCCGCGAGGCCAATTGGCTGCCAAGGCCGTGGGGCAGCACAGCGCCAACAAGCCATCACACCCCTCAGCTCCAGTAGACGACAGTTCCCCGCCAGTGGGGCTGCACGCCGAATCCAATGTTTCTCGGCTGCTAAATTCGTTGGCAATGCTGCACCGCCAACTGTGGTCGCTGGATTGGCCAAGGCACATCGCCACCACACCGCTACTAAGCGCGGTGACCTCTTGGACCGTTCGATTGAGTGGGAGACTGAATGCACACACAGCACATGAGTCCTGGTGGCTTTGAGAGTGGGGAGAAGTTGCATCAAATCATCAGTAGTGTCTTGGCCGTTGACATCATCCATTCGTCTGCGCATTGATTTTGAAGCCGACGATGATGCGGTCTGGACCCGGCGAGAGACTGAGACTCGTCGAGAACTGCCAACCTCTATGCATGCATCGTTTCCTTATCGCAGCAAGGAAAGCAGCCAGGGCTGAATGCGCAACGATAACGATGGATAAACGTCATTCGGCCAATAATGACACGTGCCCGCGATATGCCCATATATGTAAAATATGCCTGAAATAAACTGGCATGCAAACCATGGCAAAGTGGATTCACCTCATCATCACGAACAGACAGACATTGTCAACATTTAGTTGCATCGAGGCATCTGACGGGGGCAGAATTTCTGATAGAAGTGCACTATTTCCACAGGTCCGTTGAAATACCTCTGATTAGACGGTCCCTTTTCTTTCAAGAAACAATGTGAGTAAAAGACAACTTACACAACCGTATTGCAATCTGAAGGGATCAAAGATTACCTGAACCACGAGCTGATTCGCATGAGCAAGTCGAAAATCGGGACGGCAATCAAAGCTTGACCTAGCTGTAACGATTTCGGACCCGATGACACCGCGTATCGGGACTTACGCGTTCGACGGCTTCCTGGCTCCTTTTCTTATCGCAGAATGGAGTGGAGCAACTGGAAGCAGCCCGGGAGCTTAAAATAACGCACCCCAACTCCACACATGTATGCACCCAGCTACCAGGTACCAGGTAGTCAAGATCCTCGTTTGCACAAGGTTGACAACCAAGAACCCATGATCAACACGACTTAGGGTTCACCCATGCCCCGTTCAACACTCGTCTCCACCCACCACAAACTTGAAAGCACAAACTGCATTAATGTCCTCAAATACCCTCCACAACTCTCATCAAACACAACGAACCATCACAGGCTCAAGCAAAGCCCGGCTAGCTCAATCGGTAGAGCGTGAGACTCTTATCCTTCGAGTCCCCGGACTTGCGAGAACTGAACAATCTCAAGGCTGTGGGTTCGACCCCCACGTCGGGCTCAATTCCCGGCGTCAGATGTCCAGTCTGATTCCTTTCTTTTTTGTTCTATTTCGTTTATCGTGTCCTTGCTTTTCTTATTTTTTTTATCTGTCGTTTTGCGTGCAATTTTTGTGTGCTTGGATACCTTACTCCGTCTTCTCGCTCGTTCACGACGAGTAATCATCTCTGTGTCATTATGATATTTCGTCCCCGTTGTGGTAACGATGGGACGAGTTTGAGTGCTCCAGCTTGTTCCGGTGATGCTTGCGCCCGGAAGTGATTTGGGAGTTAAATAAATTATGAATACCCAAGTACTGAGTCGGCGTTATACTAAGTGCCAAGTTTCAACAACTGGCTTCTTGAATTCTTCTTTTGAGGCTGTGTCAGGTAATTACTCAGGCTACCTACATGCCAGAGATGGACAGACTACTCCGGCCGCCATCCCTAAGTTCCCCTTTACTCACCATGTATCCGCCGGCTGTTCTGTCCTACTAGACAATCATTCCTGTTTTCTGGTAAAGCTTCTTGCTTGTATGCACCGATCTGTGGGAGTGTAAGTTCTATCTCATCCCTGCGCTAGTCATCATCAGGAATTTGGAGATCCACCTACACCCATGATACTACTAGTCTCACGGCCGCCCTGACAGCAACTTGCTTAATAATGTCCATCTTGTAATCCAGAACGAGCCTCGGTTGGGATTCCGCCTAATTACTAATGCGTTTTCATCCGCGGCACTCCGCAACCACCCCCTTTTGCCTGGACGAATATATCCGTGAGCTTCTCCGAGTGAGGCACACCAACTCTCTCTCAACCACATTGATCCATAGACAACTATCGGCTTATCAGGCATCCTCCTAGTCTACATTCAATTCCATCAACTCCCCCGACCTCGTATCCAAACGTTACCGAAAATGGTTCTTCATTACTTGGCTCTTTTGTATCCCAAAGCGGACAAGGTCGCTCGTGTAAGTCGGAACGGGACTCGGCTTGTCGATGGGAAAGGGGAAAGGGAGCTCACCTTGCTGACGATGGAATCTAAACAGGTTGAAGAGATCACGCAGTCTGTGTGCGACTATGTCAAGGAAAACGAGCCGGGCGTCCTGCAATACCAATGGTTTCGGGCCCAAGGTGGTGAGAAGCCGATGCTCGTCGTCTGGGAGACGTAAGTCCCACAGCCCGGGAGCCAGTATGATACTATATGGCCTGATTCATTCTGACACACCCGCAGATACGCCGACCAGGCCGCTGTAGATGCGCACAAGTCGAGCCCCAAGATGGCGTGGCTGGTGCAGACTTCCCAGAAGGAGGATCTCTTTGCGGCGCCTCTCGAGGTCAAGTTGCTTGAGGGGTTTGCGGGATGGGCTAGCCGTCTCTAAGCCGGAGAAGTGCGAGACATGGAGATGTAAGTTCAGGGTTCGACCAGGGGCGGGAACGCGGTATCTGCTCTACTAGCTGCTGTCCATGGGTTCTCGAGACAGACTGCAACATGAATACAAGACGAATAAAGCTTGATTTGGATGTGGTTATTTTGAGCATGCCGTGGAATTGATCCGCTAACCATCTACCTGATCAATTCATCCGTTGATTCCCTTGATGATGTTGCATTTCCATGATTACACCTGGACCACGATAGCTGAGTGCTAGTTACCATGGAGCTTCCAAAAGCATGGATATTGTTAGCACTTCTTCCCAAATTCATTGCCTTTCGTGCCTCAACTTTAACGACAAGTCATGCACGTGGAGATGGCCCCGGGGGTTCATGTAAAGTGACTCACAAAAATATCCACCTAAAATCAAAGGCAGCCCACCTTGGATCCGTCTTGCGAGTAACGACTTCATCAAATAACATCGGCCCGATTAGCTCAGCTGGTTAGAGCGTCGTACTAATAAACATCTTCGGATATTTATCAAGTCATGCGAAGGTCAACAGTTCAATCCTGTTATTGGGCATTATCAGCGCTACGTCACACTCATTTGCATTTTTGATTTCTTTTTTGGCATCGAGTTTTCTAAACTTGGATGACCTTTTCTACACTTAGTTCTTGGAGGACTCAATAAAACCAGCAAGATCTTGGAGCTGTTCCACGTTCTCACCAGCCTCGGTTATGGGTTTCCTTTTTTACACTTTTCTTTTGCTGGTGTCGATGGATCATGCGTGCACGGGCTTAAAACTGGTCAATGAAGCTTGCATCGAAGGACCCTCGCATTACCAGATTGTCGTCCTCTTCTGGCATTGTTCGTCCCCTCTTTTAGTTCCGCCGTGATTCTTGTTAGCTGGGGCATGGCGTTCATTCCTGCCAGATGACGGCCGCCTGTGATTGGAGTTGCAGCTGGCAGATCCCCGTTCTAAAGAGCCAGCCGGGGGCAGCCGGTACCAGGCGGGTTCACCGCCCGCGGGGCAAGACCAGTTCGCCCCACCATTTCGTAATTCGCCGCCAGCCAAACCCACCCACCAAGCCAGGGCCCTGCAGCTTCACAGCGACAGCGACAGCGACACCTCAACCTCCCGCATTATACAGCAACAAAAGGCCACGACACGACACCTCGCCGGCGTCACAGCGGCCCCCGAATAGCACGCCATGGTTCTCCAAGATCTCGGCCGCCGCATCAATGCGGCCGTCAGCGATCTGACCAGGGCGCCCAACCTCGACGAAAAGGCAAGCTGTCGTCAATTTGTTTTCCCTGTCCTAGCTGCCCCTAGAGGCCGTCGACCCAATGGCTAACCATGCGACTGCAACGTCTCCTCCCCACAGGCCTTCGACTCCATGCTCAAGGAGATCTGCTCCGCCCTCCTCGAAGCCGACGTCAACGTACTCCTCGTCGGCAAGCTACGCAAGTCCATCCGCGCGACAGTAAACTTCAAAGACCTCCCGCCCGCCGTCAACAAGAAGCGCCTGATCCAGAAAGCCGTGTTCGACGAGCTCGTCCGCCTTGTTGACCCCCATGCCGACCCCTTCAAGCCCAAGAAGGGCAAGTCCAACGTCATCATGTTCGTCGGTCTGCAGGGCGCCGGAAAGACCACCACCTGCACCAAGCTGGCCCGCCACTACCAGTCCCGCGGCTTCCGCGCCTGTCTCGTCTGCGCCGACACCTTCCGCGCCGGTGCCTTTGACCAGCTCAAGCAGAACGCGACAAAGGCAAAGATCCCCTACTACGGCAGCCTGACCGAGACGGACCCCGCCGTCGTGGCGCGCGACGGTGTCGAAAAGTTCAAGAAGGAGCGCTTCGAGATCATCATCGTCGACACATCAGGACGCCACAGGCAGGAGAGCGCCCTGTTCCAGGAGATGGTGGATATCCAGACCGCCATCCACCCGGACGAGACCATCATGGTGCTCGACGCCTCCATCGGCCAGCAGGCCGAGTCGCAGGCCAAAGCCTTCAAAGAGGCTGCCGACTTTGGCGCCATCATCATCACCAAGACAGACGGCCACGCCGCCGGAGGAGGCGCCATCTCGGCCGTCGCCGCCACACACACCCCCATCGTCTTCATCGGCACCGGCGAGCACATGCTCGACCTCGAGCGCTTCGTGCCCAACAACTTCATCAGCAAACTGCTCGGCATGGGTGACATGGCCGGCCTGGTCGAGCACGTGCAGTCGCTCAAGCTCGACCAGAAGGACACCATCAAGCACATCACGGAGGGCATCTTCACGGTACGCGATCTGCGCGACCAGCTGTCCAACATCATGAAGATGGGCCCGCTGAGTAAAATGGCGGGCATGATCCCCGGCATGAGCAACATGATGCAGAGCATGGACGACGAGGAGGGCAGCCTCAAGCTCAAGCGCATGATCTACATCTGCGACAGCATGACAGATAAGGAGCTCGACAGCGACGGCAAGATGTTCATCGACCAGCCCACCCGCATGACGCGTGTGGCCCGCGGATCCGGCACCACCGTCCGCGAGGTCGAGGACCTGCTGACGCAGCAGCGCATGATGGCCGGCATGGCTAAGAAAATGGGCGGCAACATGAAGAACATGCAGCGCGCCCAGAGCGCCATGGGCGGTGGCAACAAGGCCCAGCAGATGGCCGCCATGCAGAAGCGGTTGCAGAGCATGGGCGGCGGCGCTGGCGGCATGCCCGGTGGGGCCGGTGGCATGCCGGACATGAGCAGTTTGATGAAGATGTTTGGCGGTGGTGGTGGTGGTGGTGGTGGCATGGGCGGCATGGACATGAACGCCATGATGAAGCAGATGAGCGGCATGATGGGCGGCGGCCAGCCCGGCGGCGGCGGCGGCGGCGGACGCGGTGGAAGGAGGTGAGAAGGGAGACAAAACTGACTTGAGCGGAACGTGGTCGGGCATCGGGTGGTTGATACATTATTTTGGCGTCTGGGATTACCAAGGGACTTACTGGGCTGCAGTGCGTTGGTTGGGCTTATTGTTTGGGAGTTTCTGGCAGCAAAGCAAGCAAGCCAGGCAGGCAGGCAGAGTCAAAAAGAGATAAAAAATACAAAACAAACCCAGTGAGGGATGGATGTGGTGGTGGTGACATGCTCGGGGGGCCTACGATACATGTACCTGCCGACTGACATTCCTATATTGATACCCACATTATTCGAACTGAACGTCCGCTTTCTAATTCGGAAACCATCGAGGTTCCGATCATGAACGCATTCGAATGGCCGGTAATAGCGTTTACCGACAGGACTGACCTTGATGCCATTCTCAGACGTACCACTTACCGAACGGCCCGGACGAGAGCACTTTGAGTTCACACAAAAGTCTGAACGCGGGCTATCACCACCCGTATTAGGGCCAGAACGCGGGCCGGGTCCTTTGGAGTGCTCGGCCAGAAACTTAACAGACCAACGGGCCACATAATTCAGGTAGGTACCTAGGTAATCACCTGGCCTCTTCTTCACTCCCATCTTCTCATATCAACCAAAACATGCTTCCAAGACCTCATCACCTTCAAACCCCCACTCGCTTTCGAAGATGTGTAGAGGCACTAGGCCTCTGCTCTGTAGCGACTGGAATCTGGCTGCTATGTCGTCGACTTTCACTAACTAAG